CCAGGGCTTGAATCCATATTTGCTTTTCAAATGATACTCTATTTTCTGTCTTTTAAAAATAACTTAATTAAATTTTTTTTTTTGGACTGTTATAGAAATAACATGCTCACTAATCTTGCAATGATGGAAAATACAGAGAAGTAAAGGAAAAAAATCATCCATATTCCCACCCCACTAAAGACAGTTACTGTTGATATTTTGTGCTTTTTTTTTCTAGTTTTTTAAAAAACATTCTTTTACACAATAATTGTGGTCTTTCCCCTCTTCACATCAACATCACATCATAAAGATTACCCTGTGTTACCCCAAACCCGCATATCATTTGTGCTTTGGGTCCTGAATGTTGTTTATGTGAATGTCTCCCTCCCCACCAAGGTGAACAAGGAGCACAGATTTCTTGGCTTGCTGAGTGAGCTGTGAAAACCAGCTCAGCCGCCTTCCCCTCCTCTTCTTCTAGGGGTCTGAAGATTATGAGGCTGCTCTGTTAGAAAAGGCGGCCCTTTTGGCCGAGCTGCACTCAGAAAACCTCACCAAGAGTACAGAGAACCACAGACTGCGTAGGAACATGAAGAAGGTCACCCAGGAGCTGAGCGACCTGCAGCGGGAGAGGGAGAGACTGGAGAAGGACCTGGACGCAGCCCACCGTGAGCGGAGCAAGGGAGACCGCGCCGTCCACGTGAGTGCCGCCCCCGGTCCCAGGGCGGGCAGTGCGTTTGCTGGGCTGGGCTCTGGGCTGTTTCTGGTTTTAGGGAGATATTCATCGCATAAGACTTAGAATAATCCAAAAGATAGAAAATATTTCACTCATCACCTCATCACCTAGAAATGACCTGTCTTAACTATTTGATGTTTCAGTTCTTTTATTCTCTCTCTGTCTCTCTCTCACACACACACAAACATCCTTGTACATAAATATTTATCCACTGATTATTTCCTGATAGAGGTATAATTACTGAGTCAAAGAGTATGAATATTTTTAAGACTCTTATAGATAGACCCAGATTGTTCTCCAGAAAGATTATACCACATTTCCCTACATGAGAGTGATCTTTTTTAAAGTCTACTGTATTTAGCACTGGATATTAGTTATTTGAAAAATTCTCTCTGAATTGGGTAGACAAAAGATAGTTTATCTTTTACAATTTCTGTTATATTTAAACTTAAGTATTCAGCATCCTGAGAATCACATCATGAAGCCTTGGTGCAGTCGGGTAGGATAGGGTCTGAGTGGTCATTGACACTCAGGTTAAGCGAATTCCCTGCACGGGAGCCTGGGGCAATCAGCATCATTAGCGAGCTCCGGAGAGCCCGCAGGTACCAGAGGTTAGTTCTCTGGCGGCTGCTCCTGGCAGGGACGGGACATCAGGATCCAGAGTTTGAAATCCTAATGCTGACACTGATGAGAGAACTGAAATACAAATGTTTGTATATTTTTAAAAATTAGTTAATTATTTTATTTTTAATGTAGGCACTGGGGATTGAACCCAGGACCTTGTGCACGCCAAGCACATGCTCTACCACTGAGCTGTACCCTCCCCCCAAATGTTTGTGTATTTTAACAGAAATTTTAATGAACATCAAGAGAGCAATAATGGAAACTTAGGAATATAAGAAAATGTCACCTTCGGTCAGTTCCACCACCCTCATAGAGTACCTGTTTTTCAGTATCACCCTTCAGTGCTGGTGCAGCTGGGGCCCCAGTCTGATCAGAGGCCACGTACTGTTGCGTGTTTTTTGATCACTTACTTCATCACAGCCGTCTCCCCACATTGTGCAGGCGCCAGAGGGATCATGCTGAAAGGTGCATGCTCTTCACTAGATTTCACATGATTTACTTAATAACTTCCTTCTCTCTTGGACGTTTTGGCTGTTTAAATAATGCCACGGTGAACATCTTTGGGTACAGAGGCTTTTTTTTCCCCTTGGAATCCCAAGGATAGATTTTGAAGAGTGAAATTAGTGGGTCAGATGGTACAAATATTTTATACTAGTTAATCATGCTGCCAAATTACTTGTTCAGAGGGCTGGATCAATTTATGCTGCGGCCAGCAATGTTGGAGTATACCAATTTATTGCAGGTTATTAAAAGACCCGTTTCCCATATTTATTCATTGTTATTGACATAATGTGTCTGGTTTAGATGCAGATGGAAATACTTGGTGTAACCTCTGAATGTTTTATTTTTTTTCAAGGGAGATGAAAATGTTATCCATGACAAAATGCAGAGCAGTTTAAAACTCAGAGCTAAGTAATGCCCCTTATGTAGTCAGTGCCAAAGATCCCTGTGGGACAGAGTAGTCAGGGGAACTCCCTAGGGGGAGATGGCCATTGAGGTAAATGGAGGTGTAAGGTCTGAGCAGTGTGCCTTTATGGATGAGGTGAGGAAGAGACTGACCAGAGGGCCCTTCTATGGAGGTCAGTTTTCATAATCAATTCTTAGATCTTTCACTGTTGGATAACATTTTTTTTTAAGTTTACGTTTTTTTTTTTTTTTTTTAGTTTAGTAGTTTGTCTCCTCCATTCCCTACTATCATTGTAAAAATGTTTATTCAATAGAAATTGGATTTCGGGGATACACACCTAGGTATATAAAATATGTAATTGCTTCTTTACATCATAAGGTACTCTGGGTAAGCATTTGAAATGGCTGCATAACTACATCAAATGGACACCCTGTAATTTACTTACTTGTTCCTCTATTGTCAGACATTGTTGGTTTCATAGTTCACTTATTCATGAAAACCTTGGTTCATCTAAAAGAATAGGGGGCCCCTCTTGATAAGAAGAGTTATTCCTGAATAACACACGTACATCTTCATAAGGAGGCAAGGAGTGTTTGGCAAGGAACGGAAGGGGCAGATGACAGTGAAGGGGGAGCTGGATGAAGTGTACTGTGAGTAGGAGGTTTTTGGCCAGTGCTGGAAACCCAACTTGAAGTACGTTAGGCAAGGAGGGAAATGTCTTGCCTTGGGTCACTAGACTGCTGGAAGGACAGGGGTGCCTGGCACGCTGCCAGGACCGAGTCTGTCTCTCACAGAGCTGGCTTCTTTTTCTTTCGTCCACTCAGTCCTGTTCCAAGTGGCTGGATCCCTCACACTGCCAGCCTTGCCGGGACCACCTCTCCCCAGTTCATTACAGGAGAGGAAGGAGGACCTCACACTCCACCCACCCTCGCTGTCTCCTGCTTGGGGTGGCCAGGGGGGTGAGACCCCGAGAGGCCCAGCTTGGGTCACATGCTCATTCTTTGTCAGAAGTGTGTGTGCCTGAGCTGGTGTACCATCACTGGCAGTTCCCCTAGAGCCGCGGGTTGGGAGGGGGGTGAGCAGGGACCCAGAGAGCGCTGTTTGTTTCCTGGAGCTGGAAGGACCAAAACAGCAGTGGTGACTGAAGGCTTACCCCGGTGAGCGCGCCGTGACTCAGAGCTTCCTGGAGCCTCGTCACCACTGCTTTTCTCCATGAAGCCATGGGTGTTTCTCACAAGACGATCTGGCTCTGGCTGCTTTTATTTTTGTACACGTATCGTTGCATCACATTGGCATCTCTATTTAACTTGGGATTGTAGCCTAAGAACTTAGCTGTGTCATAAGCATGTTTTACTCCCGATCTTGGGGGCACTGGCTTGTTCAGGGTCTGGGGAGCCGTACTGGGGGTGGGCTTGCCTTATGGTGCTGGGATGCATGCGGGTAGAGCATAATCCACTGGCCTTGCGTGTCTGCTCAGCTTGCTCTGTTAACTAGGCTCTTTGATTAACCAGAGCCTCCTGTTCACCAGCTGCCACTGCTGTTGCTTTTGGATCGAAACAAACAAAAACCCAGGCCTTTTGGTGGCCTCTGTTTCTGCCTTGGCAAAGGAAAGGACTGCATTTGTGCCTTCAGCCACTTTGAACGCTTTGTGCAGGCCCTCCAACTGGGCCTGGGGACAGTTCGTGGCAGAGGGAGGAACAGAGCATCACGGGAGCACAGGGCAGGATCAGAGAAGGCTCCGGGGGCAGAATCTTTTGAACTGGTTCTGAAGCTTGAGTTAAAGGTCACTAGATAATCGGCAAGGAAGAGGAGGCCAAGGCACAGAGGTGTGAGAGCGCGGCGTTTGGGGGAAGAAGAGTTTGGGGCTGTAGCGAAGGGTGGCTTCACCCTGGAGAGAAGTTGAATTGTGGAGGTCCTTGGATACAGAGTTTGGGAGTGTGGACTCGACCTATGGGCAGTGGGACTGCTGCTGAGCAGGAGTTAAGCAGAAGATTGGTAGGATCAGATCTACAGTTACAGTTTAGAAAGACTCGTCTGATGGGTGTCTCGACAGTGGATTGATTGGGGAGAGCCTGGAGACAAGTTGAGAAAGGACACGTGACACGTGAGTCAGGCCTTGCGACATCAGGGATGGAGGAAAGAGAAAGAACTTGTTCCTCTGTGCTGGAAATGCTCAGATACGTTTCTGGGCCATCTGTGCGCATATTCAGAGCTTCCCCCGCCAGGACTCTTGAATAATCAGCATTTGCTTGAACTTCACTGCATCCCACAAGTAGGCCTGAAAAACACTAGTAAGAAAATGTGTTCAAAAGACTCATCTTGTTCTCAGTCCACATTCAGATGGATCTTTGACACCCTCTTTTGTGATGAAAACTGCTATTGGAGCGACAGAAATAAAGCTGGTATGATTCTCAGGTGTGTATCTCTTTGGTGTACTTTACAGTTGATGAAAGGACGGCCTGTCCTTCCCTTGGTGCCCACAGCCCTGTGATTGAGTGTAGAAAGTGTTATCCCCATTTTACAGATTAATCGGAGCCTCAGAATGTAGATCACGGTCACACAGAAAAGTGATATACATACGTGCCGTATGTATGCCAGGTCTGCGGACTCTTAATTTCAGGCTTTGCCTGAGATACTATGCTGAGGCTGTGCCAAACCATCAATATTTATGTGAAGGATTCTGTGCTTTTGGCAGAAAGGAAGATTGATACGATTTCAGCTTTCAGCTACCCACGATAATCTGTTCTCAAGACCACCCAGTTTTTGAAGTATTTTGGTTATTTGAAGCTTTAAAACTTGTAAGTTATTTCTTTCTGTGCTTCAGAAACATCTTCAGAGGTTTATGGAAAGTCATAAAATTAAACAAGATTAAAGGCATGAGGGTCACGGAAAAATAAGGGGAACGAGTGGAATGGAACCAGACGAGTACGTGGAAATGCATGCGGCGATCCTGTCACGGTACTAAAGAGGGGAACTTAAAATTCAACTGGTAGCTCCCAGCAGTGGAAGTAAAAAGGGAAATTCAGTTACCAGGTCTCCAGAGTCTGTAGGATGAACACGTTAAGATAAAAGGACAGCTTTTGCTGACACTGAGGCCTGAGGGAGGTATTGCCTCTAGCGGGCTTTTATAGAGTTCTCTGAGCAGTACACTGAGCCTTCGACAATACCCCATTCAATAAAAGCGGTTTTGCACAGGGCCAGATCAATGTCATCCAAGTCATGAGCTTGTAAGTATGAAGGTTTTCAGTCCCAGGGACTCTTGTCTAGCTGTTTCCCATTATTCTCCTTTCTTGGACAAGAGCTACAAAATCAGCAGGAAATACTGCAGCCCCGTTCAGAGATGATCCCCAACTCAGAGCTGTTGCAATGGTCCCCTAGCAAGTAGGACAGGGTTTTGTAGCATTCCCTGAATTCTTTTTGATGTTAAGCCAGT